CAGGTTCGCCGGTTCCGGTATCTTGTGCGTGATTAGGCTGTATGATTGGGGCTGGCGTCGGAACGGAATCTGCAGCTGCCCTCTTGCTTCGGTCCTGCGATGATGCAGTAGCCCCTGTGCCTCCATCGGTGGTCTGCCCAGACTGCTGTGAGGCCAAAGTCTGTCTACCGCCTTCCACTCGACCGTCGGATGGGGTGGGCGAGTGGTGTACTGTAGCTGCACTGGCCACATATGGCAGGGCATCCTCCTTGGTTGGGATGGAGGTCTCTAGCGGATGCATCTTAGCTGTTGGAGCAAGGACAGAAATAACCTTTGTCAATCGAAAGCGGTGCGCGGCGAAGAGTGAGCACCACAGGGCATAGGACTGATCACCTGCAAAGTGGGCACGGCTGCCGCCTTCTAGCGACGATTCAACATATCTGCTTTCAGCCTCCTGGACCTCCTGGACCTGGTGTAGAGGCGCTGCCGGGCTTCGATTGCGGTGTCCGGTGCGTTTGCGATTGTTTGCTATCCTATCCAAACCCGGTCCTGTCGTGATGCTCCTTTTCCGGTTGGTAGCGGAGAGCCTAGTACCCCGGTCCTCACCCTGGTGGCGCGTATCAGGCTCTTCATCATCTGTGCTGTCGCTACTGTCACTAGAACCACTTGATGGCACAGCAGGAGGAGGCACAGCTGGGGCTGTGGCTGGCCGCATACTAAATACTAGGACAGCCGATGTCCGCACGTAGACATCGTCCTCCTCGCGGCACCCACCTGTGACCTCGAGGCGGAAGCCCTGTGGCACTCGGAGGTCTAGCTTGGCAAGAATGCTCGGGATATGCCATGCGGGGAAGTGGGTATGCATAAAGCACGGGCGGATCCCTAGCTGTCGCAGGTCCATGACAGTAAATACGTCTCGACGCTGCATTTGAGGGCAACCTTCATCATCGTCATTGGGTCTCGGCAGATGGACCACCAAGGCACATTGTGAACAGGCATCCCCATGCATATCCAAGCGTTCAGGGCCGTCCATCAGGTGAACAGTGATGTCGGCAAGATCACACCGACAACGGTTGGCGATTGCTTCATCGAGGCCAAACCCATAATGGTGGGTATCATGAAGGAAAAATCGGTGATCAGTCGTCATGACACTTGTGCCCGGGTTGCGACCTAGCTTTGGTAAGCCCGGGATGCTACCCCACTGTACACCTGGATCAAAGTGAGAAATAGCATCCAAACCACCACTAGCTGGGATACCGGCCCTTAGAACCTTCAGAACCACGCCAGGATTGATCTGCAATCGTTGGTTGCCGATAGCAGGTGCCGTGCTAAAGCCCACGAAGATTCGAAGGAAATCCGTTTCTGCGTGGCAATGTGGTGCAACGTATTCGAAAAACTCGTCTACAGTGAGATTGTTAGGTAGAACCGCCGCAAAGTAGTTGCCGCCTACATGGGAAAGGTCAATAACTACCGGGGTGGTTGCACCACCTCTAGCATCCAGGACAGAGGAGTATCGCAAGAATCCTGCATACCCCGTGAAGCGCTGTGGTTGCAGTGCGACGATCCTGTCAAAGGAACCTGTGGAGTCGTACGGGGCAGCATCCAGAAGGTGGTTCTTAACTTGCTGGAGGCCTTGTGCCCGGCTGGTACGGACTGCAAGGTGGGCTACCTGGAAGTATGGCGTGTAGAGGTGAACTCCAAGCCAATCCTCGCCTACTGGAACATCAAGATCAACCCCGACATCTTGCAAGACCCGTACTGTGCCTTCCGGAGGGAGTGCGGCTCCCGTTGTCGCCAAACCTGTGCAGGAAGGTGTGGCACTTCCTACACTGTCAACATGTGTCGTGGGGGTTCCCCTTGGCTCTGCAGCTTCGGTTTCCCTTGTGCTAGCTGACGACCCTGAAAACAAGGTTTCAAGGGGTTCTATCAAACCCGAATTGACGGCGGGGAGGTCGCCGGTGCTTGTCGCATCACCGGCATCTGTCGGCATTGCACTGGCTTCGGGTATCATCCAGCTTGAGAGGCAGATGCTTATCGGCATGATGCTGTCGGGAACGCCCGGAAGTTGCATCTGGAAGAGGGCCCATCGGCACAGATGGGCGAGGACTCGCATGATCATGCTGTTACTGTAGACGGCCCGGTTCTGTGCACATCGCCGGCGGGGTGGTGGCCTTCCTGCAATGGGTGTGGCAATCTGTGCAAGGGACCTCAGGACCTCGCATGCAGGACTGCGCGGTCGCTTGGGACTTTGGCCAGCTCGGCATGCTTGTCTCCCTGGAAGGCCCTGGCACAACACGATCGCCAAGCAGCAGAAAGTAACGAGGTGGAAACTGTTGGCGGCTCCCTTGGCGATGCTTTCACTCAGGGCAATTGTACAACAATTGCCCCTCAGAGTCGTCAACACAATGCACAGACAGAAGGTGCCTTGGAAAATGGCTGAGCAGCCAACGTGCTGTTCAGTATGCAGAGTACGGCTGACGACCTGTCCGGCAGGAATCCGGTTGCAAAGTCTGGATAGGAAGGCAGCCAGGGTGTGCCCAGTGGTACATGCCCATGCATTAAACTGCTTGCCCGTGCAGATATATGCTCCTATCCATATCAGCAGAACCACGAATCCGGCAATCGGAAAGCTCAAGGCGCGATGGAGGTGCGGCCTCGGGCGTGCTTCATGCCTGCCTAGGGGAACTAGGGGTGGGCCTAAACCACAACAAACCAGGGGAGTGTGGCAAGTCTCACCGGGAAGGCAGGGCGGAGTAACGGGAATGCAGCCATAAGTCAAGGCGCAATTGCTCCCTTTCCACCACTTGAAAAATCCATTGGTGCGGTTGTCTTGCCCGAGTCCAGGGCGGTGCTGGAATGATGACCTGGCAGCCTTAAAGCCTGGCGCCTTGGAGACATATTCCACTAGAGCGTTCTGAGCTTGGGTGGCCCATTCACCGGGGGAATCCTCAAAATCCATTCGGCAGAAATTCCAACATGAATGTATCGAAACTGGCTCGGATGGGGGCGGATCCCCGGGACGGAGGTAGCAGGGCCTGTACACCGGAAATGTATGTACAAAACAAGGCCGCTCAATCACTCGGCTCACTTGATGCTTCCCAGCAACACAGTCTCCAGCATAATCCCCTCCTTCGGGCCGCCGGTCTGACAAACATGTCCCACAAGTTGTCAAGCCGGTACCGTCTGGAAGAAGGTATGCGGACACTATGTAACCGAAAGCAGTGTGTGAAGAGCCTACCCCATGCCATCCAGGCCCTTGGCGAGGGAGCCCTTGTCCTCCTCCATGTCGTGGTCGTCGTCGAGCAAGTCGATGGTGCCGGCGTTCCCTGTAGGCATGTCTCCGGTATGAGGGTGTTCTTCTGTCTCTGCCGGTTCCTTGATAACTTCCCGTGCCTCCGCCTGAAGGGCGGACCGCTTGGCCTCCAGCTTCGCATGCAGGGTGCCCGGGGAAGTGGTGTGCACTGGTTGTAAGGCGGCTCCTTTGACAGGAACTCTGGCCGCTCCTCGAGCCCTCGGATCCGTAGCAGTCTTGGCAGGTCCAGGGCTGGTCGCCTGCATTGAGTCCGGCTGGCGATTCGACGGCGAGGGTAGATAGGGAGCTGCATGCTGACCAGTGGCTGTCATCGCTGCCTGAGCCTCTGTCGGTGCCGGAGCGGGTGGAGCCCCTTGTGTCGTCATAGGTAACCCTGGTGCGGGTGGAACCATTCCAACATGTGGCATCGCAGGCATCTGTGCTTGGCCGCTGAGATGCTGCATGTTCCCAAGCAGCTGTCCACCCATAGTGGCCATAAAAAGCCTGGCCGCCGCCTCCGGAGTCATCAGAGCACCTTCCACACTCCTCGATGTGTTCGCCATCTCTGGGGGTCGAAGGGCCCTCTGAATCACTGCCTGGGGTCCGTCTTGGTCTTGCTGCTCCTCTCGCCATTTCTGGGTCATGGCGTTCCAGTCGAGCTCCTCGTCCTCGACTGCCTCGCTGGGCCTTCGGCCTTCGGCGATGTACCTTCTGATGGCCATCCGAGCTTCGTCTCTCGCTTTGGTGGCAACCGTAAGGTCCTTCTCCAGCTGCTCCACCGCTTTGTTGTATCTGGTCTCCTCTTTCAAGAAAGATCGCTTCATGTCTTCTTGCCACTGGGACCACAACTGGTCTTTCTGCTTCTTCGTGTTCACCAAGTTTCGCACCCGCTGCTCGGTGCGTCTCGCGAGGTTGATACACTCTTGCAAGTCCGACGTCATGTAGTCCTCGGGGTCGGCGTCCTCCACACTGGCTGGAGGTCCTCTCTCGTCTTTGGCTTGCTTGTCCTTCTTCATGGCCGCTGCTCGGGGCTTGGCGTCGTAGGAGGGGAAAGCTGCAGTGTCTGTACTGCTCCCAGGATCCTGGTACCATCCTTTGCTTCGGGGGCTCGGGCGCGCACCCGACCAGTAGTGCCAGGATTGTGGCCCAGATCCACGGCCTCCTCCTTTCTTGTTCTTGTAGTCTTCGTCCCATCCGCGCCCCATTCCGACGTGTCCTTTCGAAACTGTCGGGTCGGATCTGTAGTGAGGCCGGCTGTGGTGTTGCCGGAGCCTCTGTAGGTCGCGTCGTGCTGGGTGTTTTCCCCGCGCCTGGTCGCGACGGACTCGGCGCCTGGCACGTGATCTTTGTAGCCTCTGAGCGCGATGCCAGGGTGGGCTATGGCGGGCAATCGGCAGGATGCCAACTACTCGTGCAGCTTTCTGCACTGGGGCTTCGGCAATCTCCACTCGGGAGTGTTCTCGAGCCCTTTTTGGGGCCCATTATACTACAATTATACTACGGAATAGGGTTTTGGGGCCCATTATGCTGTAAATATAATCAGGAACCACCAAAATTTAAAATAGTATAGGTAATTGTTTAGGCCCCTATATTTTAAACCGGTTCCTTGGTCCTGTGCAACCGCACAGCACTGTATGCTTTGCTACAAAGATTCCGCAGTACCCTAAACCCTAAACCCTAAAACCAAACCCTAAACCGTGCATTCTAGACACTCCTCCGGGGACTGCACTCGATGACCTGCAGCGTCTGGCCAACTACCCAAACACCATTGTCACGGCAAGCCTGGTGCGGTTTTGGGTTTAGGATTTGGGGCTTGGCTTTTAGAATTTGGGGTTTAGGGCACAGCTCAAAGCCCTTATATGATGTACCCCAGTAACCTACTGTTTAGGTAACTGGAGCCCTAGGTCAGGTTTTGAGTTTGGGATTCCCGGCTTCGGCACAGAGACAGGAGCGGGTCCTGGGATGTCAAGGCCTGCTTGGATGATCATGGGACTTAGTAAGATTTAGGGTTCCTTTTAATATAAGGGTACTATAGGGTTGTCTACTAGGGTGCCTTAAAGGGATCTATAGGGGCTCCATAATGGGGATCATGGGACTTAGTAAGTAAGGTTATAAGTACCTTACTTTGGTCTATACGTAGTTATAAGTATAGTTACCCTAATTATAACCCTGGTTACTAAGTCCCATGATCCTTTAAGTAGACCCTAAAACCCCTCTTCTTGAACCCCTATAGATCCCTTTAAAGGAGTCCTTTTAAGGAACCCCTATAGTTACTAAGTCCCATGATCCTTTCCAGGGGTGCAGCAGAGAGTTCGGAGAGGCGAAACCAAAGAGTTGATCTCTTCCAGTCAATATACGGGCTTTAATAGTTAGAATAGGGTTCCTTTAACGGGATCTATAGGGGTTACTGTAAGGTCCTACAATATAGGGGCCTTCATAATCAGAATAGGGTTTTGGCGCCCATTATACTACAACTATAATAAGGAACCCCCAAAATAAGAATGGTATTTATTTCGGTCCCATTATTTAGGATTCTATAGTACAGGGTTGCTGGAGCGCGTCCGGGCATCTTACGATCGTGAGACGGTGACTTGTTTTTCTTCTTTTGAGACAGGAGCATAGTGAGAGGACGAGGCGAGTGAAGCAGCAGTCCGCTAATCCCACTATGGACGATCAGGCTTGCAAATGATCCACCCTCTAGACTCCAAACTCTACTTGGAGGATCAAGGGACTTAGTAAGTAAGGTTCTAAGTGCCTTAATTGGGGTTATAAGTAGATAAGTACAGTTACCATAATTATAACCCTACCCTAAGGCTCCAAAGTAGTTCCTTTTGGGGGTTCATATATAGAATCCTATAAGGTAACCCCAAAAAGGAACTACTATGGAGCCTCTGGGTAATTACTAAGTCCCATGATCCTTTGAGTAAACCTAACCTATTTGGCTATCAGCAGGGAGCTTGGGCCCGACAGGCTGAAGCACACTGACGATGCCATAGTGGCATCCCAAAGCTCTTCCCCCGGGGGGTTTAGGGTTTAGGGTTTAGGGGTTTAGGGTTTAGGGTTTAGGGGTTTAGGGGTTTAGGGTTTAGGGTTTAGGGTTTGCCCTCAAAAAAAAGGAAAGACCTCAACCTAAACTAACACAAATCACTGAGGTATTGTGTGAAACAAGAGGATCCTGTGGGGGGCACATCGAGCATGGGGCTCAACGAATCCGGGAATTGCACTATCCCCGGCCTTGTCCGAAAGAGCGCTTTGTGGATCTGCTTCTGACCGTACACCCGTCTTACGTCCCCAATACCCAAAGAAGAACACGGTCAAACTGTCAACATCGCTCTGAACAAGACTTACTTTTCAGAAGAAGCTCAGAATGTTTGAATGCCTCATAATTCCTGGACTATCACCCCTACGCCCTTCTACAACATCTGCGGCTTCACTTGGTGTGTCGGTGCCTGGCCTCCACTGGTGTTCCTGCCTCTTTGAATGCGTGGAGCATGTCCTTGTTCTGGGCCGCTCTCTTTCGGTACCTTATCTGACCATTGCTTACTGAGATTCTGCGCAAAGTCCAGGCATAATACTGGGGCCATGATAATTAGAATAGCGTTCTGGGTCCCAATATACTTGATTTATATTAAGGAACCACAAATAGTATTGGTAATTATTCAGGCCCCAATATTATCGCACCATGCAGTGTTTCCGCTCCCAATCTGCTGGACACCGAGTGCATGACTGCCCCAGCGGTGCCACCTAGCAGATTGCATCCCAGCATATGCGCTGACAACTAAAAGGCACTTGACCCCCAACACCTCCATAACACCACTGGCTACTCTCATCTCCAGGGTTTACGGTTTAAGGCTTAATATAGGGGCCTCAATAATCAGAATATGGCTCCCTTAAAGAGGTCTATAAGGGTTGCTTACTTTCTCGCTCTCTATCTCTCTCTGCTCTCTCTCTCTCTCTCTCTGTCTCTCTCGCTCTTTTGCACCACACTTTCACATTCCTACGGGGGTAGAAAACAAAAATATGCGAACCAGTCTAGGTCATCTAGGACACAACTTCCGAATGCCCCAAACCAATTATAGTGTAGACTAGCCTATTACAGTCTATACATACTTTACGAGTATAACATGATACTTTGTAGTCTATAGTACGAGCATTAATAAACTACCCTAAACGCTACGGTTGATGATAGAAAACCTGCATTACCCATAATAAGGAATATACCATAATTCCTATAGGATAGGGCCTGAAAGTGCAGTAATGCAGGATTTATATCATCAGTCTAAACCCAAAACCCTAAAAACCTCTAGATCCTTCAAAGGAAGCCCTTAAAGGTACCCTAGGAGCGCGTCATGATACCTTCCTAGACCCCCCCAAAGTAGCTAAAGTAATGGCCCAAAACCTATAAAAGGCTTTTTTTCTACATACTTTTGGGGGTCCAGGTAGGGCTCCTTTAAGGATTCCTGCAGAGGGCTCGCTTGAGGGTTCTACAATAATAACCCTACAAAATGCTTATGCTTATGTCCTTTCTGGGTCTCTAACATGATACCTTGTATCCAAGGGTAAAAGGAGGGACCCTTAATGTTGACCTAGGATTAATAATCCCCCTACGATTAAAGGCGGCCTGCGGGCGGCTCCAGCCCCAATCTGTACTACTTTAAAGGCAGCACCCAAATAAGGATCGTTTTTTGCAGAAAACCCCCACGATTAAAGGCAACACCGTCTGGGGATCTACTACGACGACGACGACTCCTCCTACTCCTACTCCTACTCCTACTCCTACTCCTACTCCTACTCCTACTCCTACTCCTACTGCTACTGCTACTGCTACTGCTACTGCTACTGCTACTGCTACTGCTACTGCCACTGCCACTGCCACTGCTACTGCTGCTGCTACTACGACTACTACTACTAGCACCACTGTTTACTGCAATTTGGCTTCACGGGATTATTTGGGGGTCTGTGATCCTGTGGGGGGCCTGCGACCTTGACAACCTTGAGGGGGGGGGGGGGGGGGGGGGGGGGGGGGGGGGGGGGGGGTTTATTAATCAGGGGTCAACATTAATAAGGACCCCTATAGGTATATACCCTGAATATAGCTATGATATACCCATCATATAGCCCATTATAGGGTAGGGGTCCCCATTAAGGGTCCCTCCTTTTCCCCCTTGATTGTTTTATATTACAAACGCCCGGACCGGGGAGCCTTCTCCTCGATCTTCTTCTTCACACCCACAGGGATGCGTGGAAGGGTCTGGCGCAATATGTATGTGGGTGTATGTATGCATATACGTATAAATATATAGTTGTATACATACAACTAGGTGTGTGTATATGTATATATATATATATATATATTATGTATATAACAGTAACAGAACTTTTGACAGCTCAGATGTCGCAGACATGGCTCTGGTTACGCGATACCACGAGCAGTTGAAGCAAGCTCCGACAGTGCCCACGGTGAATGTCGCGGTGGCAGGCAGCAGTTCATCGATGACATGCGCTGCATCCCACTTACGGTAGGATAAAGATTAGAGTGCTGAAAAAAGGCTGCGGCATTCCGCCGTCCCCGAGGTCCCGGCCGAGTAGTAGTATCGCTCATCCAGAAGTAAGGACTGCGCGGCCCCAGGTTTGGGAATGCAGCTCTGCAAGTTCAGTGGTTCGAGAATGTAGCAGCTTGACGGCCGTATCAACACCGCGTAAACCGTAGAGCACGTGTTCGAGCATCTGCCCGAATCTGCCCGAAGCAACATCTGAATCCGAACATCGCAGCCACCTACTGAAGAAGAAAATCTAGTGCCCCGATTTATCATTCACTGTCAGCCCTGTGGCTTTTAAGCCGGTAGGCACAGAAGGGTACTCGGTAGGTGCTGATATAAATAAGCTTGGATCAACTCACAACAAGTGAGTTTAAAGATACTTGGCTCTGCACATGCCAAAAAGCCGTCCAAGTTTCCTCTATTCTTCGCATCGGTGTCACAGTCTAGTTCAGCATCACAAGCCTCAACATACTCGCCGATGGTGACAACGAAGCCAGGCGTGGATTTCGAAGGCTCAAACCTGATTGGGGGATCTAATAAAATTCTTATGGCCCCTATATCATAGGGGCCTGAATGATTAGGATAGGGTTTGGGGTCTCCCATTATATAGTAATAGTAATAATTTAGGTCCCTATATCAGGCTTCGAGCCCGAGAACTCAATTGACAAGGGGTTGTTCGCAAGGATGCGCAGAAGTCTGGATGGGCAGGCAGATGGCTCGTGTCCGTGGTTGCAGGCTTCTGTGGTTGTCGGCAACCACCACCCTTCGTCAGCAACACTGCCACAAAGACCACAACAAGGTGAACCAGCTAAAGCCCTGCTGCAGGTAAGGTGCAATCGCAGCAGGTTTCAGGGTTTCGAGGACACGATTGAAGGCGTCTTCTTGCTTTTAGCTCCTGAAAAACTCTGGCACTCCAGGTGCGGGAAGCGTGATCCATGGTCCCATTCTCACAAGGGAACACCCAGCCACATCGGACCAGATGGCCGCAGAGAGATAAATACAAAACGTGGCCGACCCCAACCCACAGCGATATGGGAGTTTCCGAAAATTAGGGGTACCTTGTTTTTCGGTCCTCATAATTGTAAGGATCCTACTATTCAGTTACTATTTAGGTGCTACTAAAGTAGAGTCCCGAATTTTCGGAAACTCCCATATTTCTCTTGTCTGCACTGAAAAAACTAGGACATCACTAGGTTTACACACCGTGGCTCGACATGTGGAACACTGTGTCTGTAGGTTGGAGTGCCGATGCCCCAAAAGGGCCAAATGTCACTAAGGAACCACGATGGGTAGGCTGAGCAGGTGGGCGTCCCTGAGCCACCGACACGCCTCCTACCCAAGGCGTGGATTGACTCGGCAGTTGACAGCGTACAAGGCACTGTCGATCCTTGTCCTAGTTCGATTTACAAACTCTCACACTCTAAATACATATATATATATATATATGCATGCCTCCATAGTCCAGCAGTGCATGCGTAGCCACCCCCTTGATGGAATAGCCAACTCGGCTGCCAGTGAGGGAAACGATGACGCTCCACTTGCCCTTATGGCCTGCATGCTCATTGACCGTCTTTTGGATGCACTTAGCCCACATGTCTGGATGTTCTGACGTCGCACCCGGGTGGAAACTTGGCACGTAGCAATCGAAAATGGTTTTCATCAGCAGCTTTTCAAGCCTCTGACCGATACCACGGCTTTTCACGAGTTCCACCGGGCCCCTTGTTTTGTCAGCGCTTTTTGCGTCGACTTCCGAGGTCACCTTCAGCGCAGCCGACTGCAGCAAATGCAGTTCGCACTCTTCGCCATGCGCACAAGGTTCAGGGACGTCTTCTGGAAGGGCCCCCCCCCTTCCAAAACATCCATTGCGGCCGCGGCGGTAAGCATGGCCAGCAACCCAAACGATCCAAAGTATCGTTATAGTCAATACTTTGGTTTTGGGTGAGTGCTGGGCTAATTCTGGGAAGTCGCGAAGCGTCTGGGGCCAAAGTGTTGTCTCTGCCCAATGTGGCATCTCTGCAACTTTTGAGCAACGTCTGTTGACGAAAAATCAGATCATTATCTTTGGGGTTTGTCTTGCCTGGCTTCAGGATCCGAATAGCATTGAGTTGTTCAGTTAAACTGAATATTTATGCCCCACCGGATCGGTAAAGAGAGAGAGAGAGAGAGAGAAACAAACCAAATAAAACAGAGGGCAGGAAGAGACACGGACACAAATCCCATGCCAAAGCACACACACACAGTAAAAACAATTGAAACACCCCCCGCACACACACACAGTACACGAGACACCACACGTGACACACACACACACACACTGCAATACATACATATATATATATATGTATATGTGCACTTTAAATACAGTGACACATATATGTCAAAGCTTTAAAACTAATCCCCTCCCGCACATCTAGTTCGAGAGTACACACATATATAGGGCTAGTTTTAAAACACACACACACATATGACCTACATAACAAAGACACACACAGATATATATATATATATATGACACACACACCCACACACACATACACACACACACACACACACACTTTGACACTTGCTCGCCGATCCGACGAGCGTGCACGTGAAGCTTGGCTTGCATCTCTGGCCGTTCTGGGCTTTAGGGTTGATTAGGGTTCAGGGTTTTAGGGTTTAGGTTCGGGTTTGGGCGTGTCGTTCTTCTCGGTCATTCGGGAACCCAGGACCCTAGCGACCCTTAGAACCCAACCATACCCCAAGATTTTACCCTGACATCCTGAAAACTGCAGTACAAAGCAGCGTTGACATTTCCCGGCCCATGCGTGCGAAATCCACGATTGCTGCAAATTTGCAGGGCAGAAAACCCTCGAACCATATAGTAGAAACCCCTAGCTAGCTCCTAATCTCCTATATAGTACTATACATATTATGGCTTAGGCCCCGCGTGCACCGGCAGCTGCATTCAGCAGCTTCATTTCGAAGCTTCAAAAAAAGCTCCACTGCACGAAACACTCAAAGCTCCACATCTCTGCCCACCGAAGCTTGCAGCCTCGGCTGCTTGGCGAATTTATCCTCAGCCCTGGACATCAACATTAACTGTATAATTAAGGCGAGGGGCCAAAGGTAGTATCGTCGGAGCGTGCTTTTTTCCAGGCTTCTGGTGTGCACAGAGCTCGCGATTCCTGGTACGTAGTAGCAGTAGCAGTAGCAGTCTAGTAGCAGCAGTCGTAGTAGTAGTAGTAGTAGCAGCAGAAGACGACTTAGTAGTAGTAGTATTAGTAGTAATAGTAGTACTAGTAGTAGCGAGCAGTAGTAGTATAGTAGTAGTAGTAGTAGTAGTAGTAGTAGTAGTAGTAGTAGTAGTAGTAGTAGTAGTAGTAGTAGTAGTAGTAGTAGTAGAAGTAGTAGTAGTAGTAGTAGTAGTAGTAGTAGTAGTAGTAGTAGTAGTAGTAGTAGTAGTAGTACTAGTAGTAGTAGTAGTATAGTAGTTGGTACGGTAGTCGTAGTCTAGTCGTACTAGTAGCAGCAGTGCAACAGTACATACGTAGTAGTGTTTGTTGTTGCAAGACAAGAAATTTTAAGTAGTGCTACCGGTATAAGATGGCAAGGTGCTGACCAGTCTGCCGTTGAAATCCTCCGCAGAGAACGTATGGTAGTACCGAAAGTTGTATCTTTCCCGGCTGCTGAAAAAGATCAATTCCTGGATTCCCTCAGATCGCGGCTAGAAGCTTTACGGCTTTCGGGTTTGAGGGTGCTAGGGTTATAGGGCTTACAATAATTTATGTAAAACCCAGAAAACACAAGTTAGCAGTTATCTAGTTTTTACCGGGTGGCATGAAGTTTGGGACGAACCTGAAAGTAGGGCTTCCCTTTCTCGGCATAAAGCTTCGCGAGCCAGCCGTATGCATTCAGAAACATGTCCTCGGATGGTGGGTATACCCATATAAGTAAGATAGCATATACCTCCAGCCTATATATAGCCCAGAGTCACAGCAATGCCGCATTCGGCCGATGTCCGCATCGCTAAGGTATCTCGATGCCTGCTCCACACAGTTCATCAAGTCGGCGATGTAGAACCTGGCTGCAGCGATTCATGTAGGGTTGGGGGGTTATAGGGTTCAAGGTTTACATTTAGGGTTTCTTTTCAAAATTTATAGATAAAATATTTCCCGAAAGGACAAGCAACATGCATTGACCCAAAAGTCGCATTGTCTCATCAGCGGCATGCTCCGGATCATATAGAAGGGATGTGGTGCAGTGCGAAAGCGAGCTGGTGATCACTCTGGCCTTAGCTATATTAGTTAAATGAGGTTATCGACAACACGAATATAAGTTTAGGAGCTTCCATTAAGTCCGGCGGCATTGTATGCCTTCACTCCGAGTTCAACCTCCCCGTCCTTGCCGCGAAGGATTTTCGGAGTAAACTTTGGCTGCGAGTGCACGATCTTGTGAAGTTTGCACCAGCTACAGAAGTCGGCATAGGCGGCCGCCAAGCGTTCGTTAGCTGTTCCAGCACCCCACACCTCCTGGCACGATTCTTATAAGAACTGTGACACATCGTTTGGGTTCGGGGTTTTAGGTTTGGGCTTGAGGCTTCAAGATTAAGGTTTAGGGTTTGGCGCTTTGTGGTTTTGGCTGAATACCACTGCAACTTCCCGGGGCCTTTGACATCAGGATTTCGATGCAGGCGGCACCTGCCCAAAGCATAATCCCAAGGTTGACTGTGTGCAAGCTGCACCAGCGAAGCATGCCAGCACCCCATCCAAGGATGTTGGTGATGACACCTGCGTGGACAAATTGGTTGTGGCTTCGAGTCTGGACAAGCAAATAAATAGGCTTCGTGCAATGCAACATACTTGGATTCCAGGCTTCGGGTGTATGGGGTATACTAGCTTTTGTTGCACTATAAGAACATGAACAACTTGCGGGTTTCAACCCAGAAGCTCGTACTGCCAGTATCATCCACCAAGCTTGTGCATACTTGGGCGAAGTTGTCGGGGTCCCGTCTGGGCAGAGCTTCCATCGTTGCCATTCGAGGGTCATCGAAGAATGAGTGTAGTTGGGCGTGGCAATGGTGGCATACATTGTTGCTGCTCCATCCGATTCTCTTCAACCCCATCCATTCCTAGGTAACATGATCTCTAAATGGTTTCGATTGAGAACAATTCGGGTCTCAAGGTCTAGGGTCTTGCTTTAGTTTATGCGTAGCCATTATTGTACATAAGCTGGAAATTAAACCGGTATCCGAGTCACCTTGTAAAACTTCCAGTCTGCCCTTAGCTCGGTCACAGCAGCCAGCACTGGCTCCGCTCCGGGGTCGTCGTTCGGATAGCAGCCCTGGAAGAGCTGGTTCAAGGAATCGACCACCTCAGCACAGGTAGCAACACATCGTTCAGTTCTGAAAATACATGTACTCTGTGAAATGGTTTTGGTTTGGGTTGAAATCATATGCTGATTTGGGTGCAAGCGGCAGGCCTCATAAAGGCCTGAATCGTGGAAAACCCGGTCGACAATGACTGTCAGGGATGATACTTA